TCCATTCATGTTTCACTTATAAACATAGAAAAGATTTTAAATGGATACTTCCTAATAAGTGAAACTGACAAGGTCATATGTTTACTGCTCTAGGCTTGAGAAGATGCGTACAAATTTAGATTTTACAGATTAAAGGGACTGTAAACGTAATTTCTAGTGACCTTCCATTTTAAAGGGAGTGTTCGCGAAAAATGGGTATAAGCTTAAGGCGAAAAATAATCACTTTTGATCGCTATTAATTTTACTTCTATCTGTTAAAAACGATTTATACTGAAGAAACTAGCGTCCTTACAAATGGGGGACTTTCGTTTCGTCTGTCTATCGAGAATGAATGAAATATTATTGTATTTTTTAAAGCTGAAAATTGAGTATTTTCAATTGTGGGTTGTCTATAATAAACTTGCATCAGAATTTTCAAAGTTTACATCTTTTGTTCACTTCATTGTCTTGTTGATGATATATTTAACCCTATTCCCCCTGTAGTTTTTTTTACATAACTCAAAAAGTATTGGTCTGAGGCTGTTCAAATTTTCCGACTTTTCCTACATCCCCAAAGCCCTCCCAGGCTCCCTTTAGGCCTAAAACCCGGCTTTAATACTAACTGCCTGAGTCCTCAGGCACACTGCCTGAATGACTGCTTTTTCCTGTAACAAACTAAATCTTTGTTTTGAGAAAAAAAAATTGCAATTTTTTTGCAATCTACCTGTCAAAGGAAATTTGCACATTTTTAGTTTTTCTTGATTAAAAATCAGGTTATTTAAAATTTTGCAAAAATGTTTGCATATTTGAAATGGCATGGTCAAGGGCTTTTTAAAAAATGTATAATTTTTCATTTTTTGGACAAATATTTTTTGCAAACATTTTTACTACATAACTGGATTTTGCGATAAAAAACTCAATTTTTGCAAATTTGCAAATTTTTTTGCAGATTATAAAAGTAAAGCAAAAGAACTTTCCAAAGATGTATCATTTGTCATATTTGGACATAAAACATGGGACTTAGAGGGGGGGGGGGGCAAGAAGGAGAAAATTGTTAAAAATGATTTAAACTGAAGAGAATAGCGTTCAGACATTTTTGTTTTGAAAATCGAGTATTTTCAATTGTGGTTTGTCTATAAAAAATTTCATCAGAATTTTGAAGGTTTACATCTTTTGTTCACTTCATTGTCTTATTAATATATTTAAGAATAACCAAAAATACTGAACAATTCCAGTAATAAACAAGTATTTACAAAATATTTCAAATTTGCCGTGATTTTAATGATGGAGAAATTATCATTTCTCTCCACCCAGGAATANTACGTAGGGTAAATAAAACGAAAAATTGCAAGGAGAAAATTGAGTATGTCTTCAATAATCTTAAAGAAATTAAAATTTGCCATCTACAGGGATTTCTCCCAGCAAAAAAGCTCCATGATCGTAGGTCAAATACCGTTTCACATCGAACTTACCTGATATTTTTAATTCTAAATAAACTTGAACATTTAAAATATCAAAGTTTTTTATTTTTTTATTTTTAAGGGGGTTTTATTTTTAAAAGTATTTAAATCTTAATTATGATGCATATGTTCTTATTTTAAAGGAAAAAAGATAAATTTATAATAACTTGTTTTCTTTAAAGATGAAATTTGAATGGAGTGACACCAAGCGTTTATAAACTAAACTAAATACTTTAAAACCACATGCATGGAGGACCAATCACAGATCAGTACCACTCAGGATTCAACCAATACGGTTTAGGGGAGGGTAGGTAGATATATAGAGATATCTAATGAATAAATGTATTGGATCAGATTGATGAGCCATATACAATATAGAACAGGAACACCCGAGATTAGTTTCCGGATTCCAGCTGGATATAACTAAGAATAATCAAGGTTTACAGGGTTTCATATGGACATATGGATATCCAAGGTTTACAGGGTTTCATCTGGATATATGGATATCCAAGGTTTACAGGGTTTCATATAGATATATGTATATACAAGGTTTACAGGGTTTCATTTAGATATATGTATATACAAGGTTTAAAGGGTTTCATATAGATATATGTATATCCAAGGTTTACAGGGTTTCATATGGATATATGTATATCCAAGGTTTACAGGGCTTCAGCTGGATATAAGAATAATCAAGGTTTACAGGATTTCATATGGATATATGTATATCAAAGGTTTACAGGGCTTCAGCTGGATATAAGAATAATCAAGGTTTACTGGATTTCATATGGATACATGGATACTGATATAATGTGTAAAATTTATCCAAAAAGCTCATTGAGAAAAGCAATTTTGCTCTAGGCTGAAACTTGATGAACAGATTTCAACAATCCGAAAAATCAGATTTCAAACTATTCAAATATTTGCTTACTTAGCTATGTAGATTGAAAGGGGTGGTTTAATTATTTAAAAACTCTTTAATCTGTTTTTGGAAAATTTAGATTACAGGCCAGGCCCAATCCTAACATACAGCATAAACTTCGATATCCTATATATCTATCCTAGCATATAGCATACACTTCGATATCCTAGCATATAGCATACACTTCTATATCCTAGCATATAGCATACACTTCTATATCCTAACATATAGCATGCACTTCTATATCCTAGCATATAGCATACACTTCGATATCCTAGCATATAGCATACACTTCAATATCCTAGCATACAGCATACACTTCAATATCCTAGCATACAGCATATACTTCAATATCCTAGCATACAGCATACACTTCAATATCCTAGCATATAGCATACACTTCAATATCCTAGCATACAGCATACACTTCGATATCCTAGCATACAGCATACACTTCGATATCCTAGCATANGAAAAATATTCCAAGTATTCAAATATTTCAAATTTTTCTGTTATTTAGAAATTAGTTTGAATAAAGGGTAAATCTGAACCCCTGCCATCTAGCGGTTGAGGGGTGGGGAAGGGGTACAGATTGTGCTGATACTGCAGGGACGGAGGGGGGAGGGGGAGGGGGAAGGAGAGTTTGCCCGTTCACTTCTAACACCTCTCTGGAAACCATGAATATACATATTCTGAAATACTTTTGACTGTAGATTATTGCTAGCTGCTATAAGTGTGTACTATCCTATTGTAGATACACATGGCACACTTTTTTGTGGGTACTATGCATGTAAGTGTGTACTATGTACTATAAAGCAAAGTGTGTACTATGTACTATAAAGCTAAGTGTGTTCTATGTGCTATAAACTTAAGTATGTACTATGTACTAAAGTGTGTACTATATACGATAAACCTAAGTGTGTACTATGTGCTTTAAACCTTGTTATGTACTATGTTCTAAAATGCCATGTGTGTACTATTTACTATAAACCTAAGTGTGTACTATGTACTGTAAAGCTAAGTGTGTACTATGCACTATAAAGAAAAGTGTGTACTATTTACAATAAAGCTAAGTAATAAACTATGTGCTATAAAGCTAAGTGTGTACTATGTACTATAAAGCTAAGTGTGTACTATGTACTATTAAGCTAAGTAAGTACTATTTACTATAAAACTAAATGTTTACTATGTACTATAAAGTTAAGTGTGTACTATGTACTATAAAGCTAAGTGTGTACTGTGTACTAAAAAGCTAAGTGTGTACTATTCCCTATGTGTGTATATAAAAAAAACTTACATAGAGGATGAAAAGCTCCAGCCACCTTAGATCCGATCATTTTCTTCATATAGTGAGCCAAATCCTTCCCGTTCTAATACAAACCATTCTCAATACTATACAGGGACTGTAAAGGAAAAATAAAAGAGGGTATACGATGAAACATGAGAATCTCAGGCGTTAAACGATAAGACAACAATTTGATGTTCCTGTTTCGAGAAATTGATGTACTATAAAGTTAAGTGTGTACTATGAACTATAAAGCTAAGTGTGTACTATGTACTATAAAGCTAAGTGTGTACTATGAACTATAAAGTTAAATGTTTACTATGTACTATAAAGTTAAGTGTGTACTATG